GCACAAAAACTAACCAATCCATGAGCTTCTCTTTTTAACCATTAACCACACATATCATTTTCCTTTGATTTCTCCTTGGTTCTTGGCCTTAGTACACTTTTTCCAAGATTTCATATTTTTTTTGTTTTTGTTTTGATGAACAAGAATCTAGGGGTGGGTGATTGAAAAGGGGACAACCCCACTTGGTTAATATACTTTCTCAATCATCCTTCCTTTTCTTCTTCTCCATATTTTCCCTTTTCTTTCATATATCAAGATTTGATTTTTCCAAGAAAAGAGCTTGGTGCACAAAAAGTTGGTATTTTGATTAAAAGGGGTCTTTGTATCTGGACTCATCTCCTCTTTTTTTTCATTATTGAGGGATTTTTCCAGGTGTCAGAGACCCATATCAGATCTGTGTACAAAAAAAAAATCCATTCTTTAATGTGCATATGGATTCTTGATGTGGGAATATCCATTTTAGAACAACCCTTCTGTTTGTATGCACATAAATAGAGGGTAATCTTCTATTTTCCCCATTAGCTATTTTATGTGAACACAATTATCCATTGTTTCCATTTTCCTTAAAAGGGTATATAGTTATAGAGTTTGTTTAGTCAGTCTTGTTAGAGTTTTGGCGAGGCCCACAGTTTGTTTTGGTGGGCTTCGTCAAGCTAATAGAAGTATAATATCTGTATTTTGTTGAGGAAAGGGGAGGGGGGGGGGGTATTAGTTTAGTTTTATATAATTGTTACAGGAGAAAGAGTAAAACAAATGAGTTGAGTTTCTACTTATTTTACTAACCTTGCTTTTAACATATAATTGGTCACCTAACTTTTGATCTTTTTACCCCACATGATTTATGCTTAAATTGATTAACTTTTTTTTCAACTTTAACAAATGCTTTTCTTATTGATAACTTGCTTTACTTTCATTACTTTCCTTTGTAAGTCTCTTTCCCTTAAGCCACTTCCTTTATGGAGTAGTTCTGAGGTGAGATTGTTATCAATATGGTTTTGGAATGATTTCTTGATTTTGAACCCTTTCAAGAAAGGATTTTTAGAATCTTTAATGTCCTCAAATGTGATGACACTGAGGAGGAAGAGTTTCAGTTATAGAGTAGAGAATGTTGAGGCAAATTCTGAAATGTCTGTGTTGGATTTGCCTGAATTGGTTTTGGAATGTATTCTTGAGAGGCTCCCACCTGAGGGACTTTGTAGTATGGCAAGTGTTTGTAGTTCTTTGAGGGAGAAATGCACAAGTAAATATCTTTGGGAAAAGCATATGAAAGAAAAATGGGGTAGAGTTCTTGGTCCTGCTGCTCATAGAGAGTGGTTGTGGCATATTTCTTCAAGAAAGGATTCAAGTTTCTTTAATCAGGCTAAAGAAAGAGGTTTAATGACTTACCTCTCCCAGTTTTGGCCTATTTCAATCGTTAGATCTAATCCTAGCACTAGTTTCAAGAAAAAGGATCCCCCAGTTATTGATTCAATCATGTCTATGTATCTTGCTCTTGAATCTGGCAAGTTTTGGTTCCCTGCTCAAGTCTACAATCGCGAGGTATCATTAGTTTTCTTGATTTTAAATCTTCAGCTTGAATAGTTTTTACCTTTTTTGTGTGAGTGAAATGTAATCTCTAAGATTGTGCAGAATGGGCATGTTGGTTTTATGCTATCTTGCTATGATGCTGAGCTAAGCTATAGTCGAAGAACCGACACTTTCCAGGCCAGGTAATTGGGAATATATATTCAGAATTTTCATTGTAAGTCTACTTGTCATCAGCAAAAAACTACACATGGAATTAAAAAGGGATCAAGAAATGCTATCTTCTTGTCATATATATATCGTTGATGAATTAGGTGAAATCAATTTGTTTCTCTTATTTGTTTGCAGATATCCTCCACATGGAAGGAGGGCAATGGCAATAGAGACAGGTGTAACATGGGATAGATTAAGAGTACCTCCTCTTGATACCTCTCCACATGATCTTTATATCTCTGATTGCTTGACTGAATTATGCCCTGGTGATCACATTGAGATTCAATGGAGAAGAAACAAAGAGTTCCCTTATGGTTTGTTCCTCTATAAACCATTCAGACATTTTTGCATTTTCATTAGTTTTGCAACAACTATATATATTTTTATCACTCTGTTGAGCTGAGGGTCTATCAAAAACAGTCTCTACCTCCCAAAGGTCGGGACTGTTTGCGTACACTCTATTCTACCCTCCCGAAACCACACTTGCGGGATTATGTTGTTGTTGTATTTCCTTTACTGCCTTTCCTCTTCCTTCCTAAGTTACTTGGTGAAGTTAGGTAATACTCTAAGATTCTTTAGTTGTGGTCTTGTGGATGATGTGTTACAAATAGGAAAGGGGACTACTCTTTTTTTTATTTTTTATCAAAAGGTCCTTGTTTACTTGATCTCCCAAAACGTGTTGAAATTTTAAACCTGCCTTAATTGACCACAACTTTTTATTGATAAATTTTTGAATATATTTTCAATAGTACATGTTGGGAGTGCTATGAGCAGTTATCATTTTTTTGAAAGATAGAAGGTGGCCAGTCTTTCTTGTTTGGTAGAAAGTCTAATCATGGTTAGCAGAAACTTGACATCCTATTTTTTGATTTGATTCCACTGTCAATTTCTTTCTAGGACAGGTGACGAACATTGATTGGTGTTTTGATGATATTGACAAATCTATCTTTGGTTTTTCCAATCTTTGAATTTTTGTGGCATATTTTGCAGGCTGGTGGTATGGTGTTGTAGGCCACTTGGAAACGTGTGATGGAAATGAGTATTACTGTCGTTGTCATGAAAATGGTGAGTTATTTCCCCTTGTTTTTCATGTATATACTTTTACACCCAAGTCATTTGGATAAATCCAGCCGTAACTTTACTTACCAGTTATCTGTTGATTGCCTTCTTAAATGGGCTAAATTCAAAGATTTCGCCTTATACACTGCTAAGTCAATTACTCAACGGACCAGAATACAAGAAACACAAACATCAGTTCCATTAGTATCAAGATCATAGGTCTCATTTGTGGTCCCGATTAAGGACTACAATACACATATTCTTGTAGTTGAGTTCCCTAGTTGTGCATTCAAGATTTTCACACATATATGTAGTATGAGAAGACATCTTAGCTGTAAATTTTGATTGTCAATTCATCATTATCACAAAATAGACTTTTTCTTTAGTAAAGGCCCCTCTTGGACTCCCATCACTTTGCATGTGGGCTCATCTTTTGTCACACAAGACAAGTCGTATTCATTTTGTCATTTTTTCTTCAAACATGGTCATAAGTGCTGTTTCAGTGGAGCATATTTAATAATATAAGCAAAATCTGAGAGAGACTTGTAATATTCTCAGCCTATGATCCTTCCTTATGGAGCTGCATTAGTGATCCCTCTTATATTAATATAAAATATAGATTGATTGTTCAAGATTTTCAATTTCATAGTCTTACAATCGTTGTGAAGTTTCACTATTAGCAACAACTTCACATCTCTTCCCTTATGTCATAGGAAAACTCATGACTAGAAACAATCGTTATGGTTTGTTTTGATATCCAGTAGGAATAATGAGAAAAAAAGGCCCATGGTTTAACTAAACAACTACCTTTAACTTTAAGTAGGACTCTACCTTAGCAACTTTTTTTTTTCCCTATCTTTTACTCACCTGTTCTCATTTTTTTGTGGAGTTCGTCAAGTTCTTACATAATTAACTTCTGGACCCCATTTCATATTATATAGATTTCAAACTCATCTTTTGGTAAAGGTATCAAAGCAAAATACGGCATTCTGATTGAGATGGTAGTTTGGTGTGACTAGGCATATATTCACTTTGAACACCACCTTTAATCATTTCAGAGAATCAATCAATCACTTGGTAATAGTCCTCAAGCCTTAATTTAATCAATAAACTATCTTCATTTTTAAGTTGGCTATGTGAATCGTCGATATCCACTTCAATCTAAGCCCTTCATTTGTTAAAGTTCTATTCTTTCAATTTGTTGAATTTTCATGTAAGTTTACACAGATCTACTTTTCTAACATTGTAAAGGAAGAAGGGTCAGGGGAATGAAGCAATAACAGAAAGTCTAGTAGATATCTACTGTTCCAAGGAAAAATGAGTTGACTACTCGAAATCTTATGCCATGTCTTTTGATGCATTGGCAACGCATATTCTTTACACTCTGCAACTCCAAAGTTGTAATATCGTAGTTTTTTGTCATGGTTTCTAATCCTCAAGGTGGTGCTTGCAGATACAGTAGTGCTAGAGTTCAACCAGTATACTCATGGATCGCGGTGGAGGACAACACACATTGATAGGAAAGATCATCGCGAGGAAGGGAATGAGGCTGATGGATTTTATGGAGGAATCCGGAAACTTCATAGCAATGAAGAGATTTCTATGTGGAGACGCCTGTGGCCATCCGATGTCTTGGAGTAAGTTGCAAGCTCACCATTGTTGGCAAAAACCACATTTGTACCTTCAGAATGTGAGGAAGTTAACACCTGAACTTGGAAGTAAGCCATTTTCAGTATACCACTTCGACTTCTATTGTTTTGTGATCAGTGGGGGGAGTTATTTCGACACTGATCCTACTTGTTTGTAAAATGATTACCACGTTTACAGATCGATTTGTTTAGTAAAATCTATTAAAGCTCTAGTTAACTTCTTGTACTAAGGAATTAGATTGTTGATCCACCTTAATGGTTTCTGTTGATCAGTGAAAGGAAAGAAGCCTGGTTATTGGAATACTTAATAAGTTTATGTTCTAATATAAACTACAACTGTAAAAACTTATTTTTCTTTTGATTAATAAAAAGATAGAATTTTTGTTTTTCTATTTGGAGTTTGCACCCTTTAGCAAATTTTTGGTTCTAAAACTATCTTTGTTATGTTTCATTTGTTGTTAGATATATTAAAAATGATGATACAAAGAAACTTCTCATTGAAGTTAAAATGTCACAAATATGGAACATAAACTACACATCCCCTTTCAAATGAAAAATTCTATCACAAATATTGTCTGATAAAATTGGAACGATACAGAGAAGATTAGCGTGATCCTTGCACAAGGACGACAATGTTCAAGGAGTTTTTCATGTTTACATTTCTGAAAGAAAACTACATTTATCTAGGACTTTCAAGTCCATAACCCAAACAAATTGCTGGTTTGTACTTCACAATCACCAACTTTGACTCCCCTCCATTAACCTTTTTATTCCCCTTGAACTTGAAACTCAACTTCTTGAAGTAATTAGGCTTCCATAATGCTGAAATTGTATTTATCATATTTCCTTCATTGTTCTCTTTTCTAAATGTTGCATATCTCACTAGCATTCCTTTAAATTTTTGTATTTTGGTTTGCACAAACACATTCCCTTCATTTGTTTTTTGGGCAACACCATTTGAAGTGGACTTGAGCTTTGGCTCTTTTGTTCCAAAAAGCAAGTTCTTGGGGTTCTTGGATTCTTTTGTGGTTGGCCCAATAGTCATAGAATGGTTTAGAACCCATCTTCCATATGATGCTCCTTTGGCCTTAGACTCTATGGGCTCTCTTGTATTTGGGCTTGAAGGTTGAATTTCTTTTCTCATCTCCTCAATAGTCCATTCCAAATTTTGTGTTCTAAATGGTGAATGTGACCTTGTGCGCCTATGGTGATTATTTGGAGTGCTATACCTCCCCCTATTATCTTCCTTCATCACCTTTTGCATGGCAACAACAAAAGGATCAACGTCTCGTCGAGCAAACGAGGACTTAACCATAGCACTAGGAGAGATAGTTGAGCATGTAATCGATCGTTGACTAGTATATGACTTGATGTCGCCTTCACATTGGAGCCTTGGTGGTAGTTTAAGGGGCATGACATGACCGTTAGAGAAAAGTTCATCCGCGAATGCCATCTCGGGGAGTGAGCCACCTCTCTCTCTCCTTTTCTCGTCCCACGACTGGTCAAAGTTCTCATGACATGTCTCAAACTCCACACAACTTGTATCAAACTTTTTGCTTGTTTCAAATTCAAAGTCATTCTGGGTCAACCCACAATCGCCACCCTCATCAACCCTTTTACCCGGGCTAGCCGGGGCACTATGGTAATATTGCACCATGTGAGAAGTTGGACTTGTTGGTGCTGTCACATAGGGAGAAGTTGAAGGTGGAGATGAAAAATCCATAGGGTAGAGAATTGTAAGTTTAGACAAAAGGCAAATTGTGAGAAAGTTTTGAATTTGCTCTTTAAGAAGTAAAAACTAAAGGAGTTTTGAGTGCTTATTATTTTGCTCCTGAATTTATGGATTGCCTTAAAGTCACAAGCACTACTAATATTTAATTTTTTGAGTTCTAAATTAATCTTCAAAGTTAAATAAATATACCAATTCATGTCCCTAACTATAGACTAAGCTTAAAAGCTAGCATTAAAAATTAGTCATATGTGGACCAACCACGAGAATATTATGTATATATTAGGATATTTGTTGCTTCTTTCTTGGACTCTAATGCTGTTCAAAGACAAAAAAATAATTGTTTTTTATTTATTTATTAGAGTTAGTGAAAGATGACTTTTTGGTCTTCTATTGTCTATCACAATCCTCATCTAATGCTAATATTTGGGATATTAATTATAATTTGTGGGACCAGACAAGAGTAATAAAGGGATGAAAAACAAATACAAAGTCTTAACCATGATATAATTGTATTCTTATCTATCTAATAATAATTTTCAGATATATAATACCTTTTATGATTTTATGCCCGTGTAGTGATACCCTTTTATGATTTGTTGCAATAAAGAAAAAAATAATTTAACATATCGTCATTAGAAATGAGTCATATGATACGAAAATGCAGATTAGTTAAATTTTAATATGAGTATTAGATATTCGATGAAAAATAAAAAAAATGACTATTTAAATGACCAATCAATTTACAATAATTGATCATCCAAACCACTCAACTTTGTATCCTTATTAGCTTTCATGGATAAGAATTGAGTCGGGTTTAAAATAAGTTGAACCCTAAATGAATCTAAATATTAACTTATTGATTTTTAAAAAACTTATAGATTTCACATAATTAAATAGGTATTGAGAATAGTATTTTCGACTAAGATAACTAAGGAAACTAACTAATTAAAATTAAATAACTTTCTGAGACAAAATACAATTGACTCTATATGGTCAATTAGACCATAAGTTTAATAACAATTCATATTCATGCAAGTCTATGAATTAAATGGTGGAATAAGGTACAAGAAGACACAAACAAAGCATGAATATGTTCTATCAAACCTACTAATATATATATATATATATATATATATATATATATAACTTTATAATTTATACTTTGGTAGTCTCATTTCAAAATTTCTCTTTTAAGTTCTAACCACTCCATGATGAATTAGTTGCCACCCGTGAATATATATATATATATATATACACACACACACATTTATATTTACTTATTTTTTTTTAAAAAAAAATCGTTTGTTTTCCTTCTATTAATTTGTGCATATATGTGGAGTTTTATAAAATAATAGAAGGACAACTCCACATATATGCACAAATTAATTGAAGAAAAACAAACGATTTTTAAAATATATATATATATATATATATATATATATATATACTAATTTCACGGCACGTGTGTTTGCACATGTATCATATCATATAGTTTAGAGAAAATTGTATATAATGGCAAACTAATAAATCAAATTACTTGCTATAACCATCCTTTGATTTAATTGTGTCCCGTAGCAAACTGTTTGTCAGACCTCTCTCCCTCAAACTCTCGCTCGCCACTCTCCTCTCTCCTCTCTCGCTCGTTTTCTCTCACTTTTATTCAAACACAAGTGTATAAAATCTATTTCTATTTGTATAAAGCGAGAGGAAATGATATAAATACATATATTTATGTTCCCCTCTCCCAGATCTCGCTCGTCACTCTCCCTAATATCGCTCGCCTCTCTCGCTTATACAAATAGAAACGAAAAAAATGTATAAATTGCATTTCTGTAAAGCGAGAGAAAATTGTGTATACACATGCAAATACATATATTTTTGTCCTATACACTTATAATTATATAATAAAAATAATGTCTTGCCCAGTTTCTTTGCCTTTCTCTCTTTCTTGTTTATACAAATTCAAATTGTATATAATTCTCTCTTTCTCATTTTATACTATTCGATTCAATTGTATATTCTCTATCTAAGTCTCTTTTGCCTTTGTCACGACCTAAAAATGGGCGTGATGGCACTCGTCTTATCCCACCAAGACAAGTAAGCCTAAAACTCAACTATTACAATAAAAATGCGAAAAATTTACTATCAACTTACATTATACCCCAAAACCTGGTTGTCACGTGTACAAGCCTCTAAAGTATTACAATCGGATCAAAAGAAAATATAAGTCTCATATGATATTGTTTCTAGAGTAGAACAAAATCATAAACAAGAGTAAGGAGGGATGTTGAGATGACCAACAACTACCTCACCAAAATCTCCAGGAAGCCTCGGAAAAGAAGAGAATATATCATAAAAGTCCGGGCTAGTAACCTACAAAAATTTGTAGAAGCAAGGGGTGAGTACCAAACCACACGGTACTCAGCAAGTAAACCTCTAAACACAAGCTAAGGGGATGAAATACGGGTACTCCTACAACCCCCAACCGAACCTCCCCAAGTACAACCTGCATAAACATCAACCCAACCTAACAACTCACAGTTTACATAGAACGTAACTCAACAAATTACATATCCTCCACAACAACACTTTAACAAATTACATATCCTCCACAACAACACTTTAACAAATTACATATCCTCCACAACAACACTTTAACAAATTATATATCCTCAACATCAACACTTAAACAAATTAGATATCCTCAATAGCAACACTTCCAAAAATTTACACATCCTCAATAACACACTTCAACAAATTACATATCCTCAACAACAACACTTCAACAAATTATATATCCTCAATAACAAGCTCAGTATTCAACAATCACAAGTTTCGCAAAAAGGCAATCACTAGATCAGCAAAACACAATATCAAGTTCACTAATGATAAGTATGTGCAATGTAATGGAATGCAATGTCAAGTATAATGATGCATGTCTGACCTAGTGATACACACCCGCTGTCTCTCAGTCCGGGACCCATGGGGGACATATCTGTCCATGCATCTGTCGCGGCGCACGACACGACCCTCGATAATAGTAACCATCGCGGCGCGCGATACGTCCCTCGAAATATAGTATCCATCGCGGCGCGCGATACGTCCCTCGAAATAGTACATCCTCTTTAAGTTATCATTCTTTCTCAATGCACATAACACTTTCACAACCATGTCTCAGAATAATGCAATGACATGTTCACACAAATAATGAGGAGATGACCATTTTCATAACATTGCACAGTTCACAACCACACAAACATGAAATCACATCAACAATGATTCAACAAGCCATCAAACTTTTCTCAACACATCACACATAAATAATTAATCACATCGCTTTTTGTTATCCCTTTTATTTCATCATTAGAATTAATCAATGTGGACAAGCCAACCCATCACCAATCCCGTTACTCCCAAACATATATCACAAGGAAATACACGCATTCCATACACTTAACAAGAGTTTAGAAATCCACTTGCCTCAATCAATCAAGAATTCAATCTGAAACTTGAGCCTTTCTCTTTCGTTGAACTTTCAACTCAAAGTAATCTATTCAACTAAATGACCTACATAAGATTTCAAGACTAATTAACAACAATCAAATCTATAATCAAGTTCCTAATCTTGATGTCAATTAGCATATCAATTCTCATATTTCCAAATTTCAAGTCTAGGGTTAAGTTTCAACTTCTCCATTATCATAAATTTAATTGTTATCATATAACTTTACCATCATATTTAGTTACATAATAATGTATCAAGCTATGATTATTTAAAATATAATGATTATAAGGCATATAAAAAAAAGAAAAAGAAAATAAGTGACAATAATAATATGGTTCATTATGTTGAAATGCTAGAATTAACAATGCCTTTATCATTAGGCAATAATTAGCCAATGATTAGGCTACTGTTTTGTCCCCCAGAAATCGTTGCACATTAACAATTTCACCTTCTTTCTGTCAATACAATTCATATGCAAAAACTTAAATTAAGCCGTAGGATAGTAACGGAATACGAGTAATTCTTTACCTAAAAGTGAAGTTTGGACTTCCCACGTTGATCGCCTCTTAGCGCAGGTGATTTATGTTCTCCTCTTGAATCTCTTCTCTAAATTATGTACTAAACTGACAAACCCTACTTCTTATTTTAATATATAAGGGTTAAATAGTACATGGTCTTAAATAAATTATCACTTTAGTCCATTAACTTTTAATTAAATTAATTATCTATAATTACCCATCAACAAATTGACTAAAGTTAAAAGAATAGTTTAGAATTTTCAAAAAAACTGATTTTTTTTTTGGGTCATTACAGCCTTTCTCTCTTTCTCATTTTATACAAATTCAAATTGTATATAATCGTTATATACACTTCGTTTTATACAATTCTCTTCCCAAATGTATAAAACAAGAAAGAGAAAGAGTCCATGAAGTCTTCTTGGATCTTTGCACATCAATATTATGAGACATTTCCTTAAAAATATCAGTGAGTTTTTTAACACGACTAATAAAATAATCATGTTGTTGATTACATTCTTCGCATAGACAAAAAGAGCATTTCATGTTAGAACATTGAGTTGTTGTCATGGATGAAGCTTCTTGTATCATTTCATCAACAAGGTAAATAAAAAATATTGAGATTTTACAATTCATCATAAAATAATAATAGCAGTATGTTGCAACCGATGGATAGTCTGTTGCGATAAATTAACATTATGTTGCCACATATGTACCTGTTGTTGCGCAACATATACATCTTATGTAGTAACAGATGCATCATATGTTGACATATCTGTACAGATTATTGCAACATTTGAATCTTATGTGGCAACAGATGACAAACATATCACTAAAATGTGGCAACATACGCTAAATATATTTTGGACGCCTGAACAACACTATATTTCTAAAATCATATCAACAAAATGACCAAAAAAAGAACAACAACAACAACAAAAAATGACTTTTCACTGAATGATAATATTACAGATACATTTCCTCGAAATAAGGATTTTTTTAGTTGGTTGATTTTCTTTCAAAAATGATAAATAATACACATCATTAAGTCAATTATTCATTTTTTACACCTACAGAACATTTTATTGTTCATTAACCCAAGAAAAACACTTCAAAAATTGTAAAGTATTTCAAAAAAATAACTTACCCATTTCTAGTCGAACACGATTACAGTTCAGAAAGATGAGAGGAAGAGTAACAACTGCAGAGGAAGAGTAACGACAGATTTTCAAAAATTTCTAAGGAAGAAGAAGAACAATCCCCAATGGAGGAAGAAAAGAGAGAGAAAAGAGGAAGGGAGATGAAAAGATTTTTTTTCTTTTAAATTATTTGGATTTGAATTATAAAAGTGTATTTTTTTATTTTATAAAAGATTAGAAAATTTTGAAAATGTTAATTTTGTCCCATAATTAGTTAATTACATTTTAAAGAGAATTTGACCAGCTCTTGGTCAATCTGTCACTAAAAATAAAAACGAGACTTATTGCCTTTCCCTTAATTTCTCTATTTAATATGTATCAGTTAACAATATGATTTAGTATTATCTGATTATTATTGTTTTCAGACTATACATGATTCACTGGGAGTATACTTGGCACCAAGTGGCCGTAGGGATGAAGATTTTCGGTCAACATATGTGGATCTTTAGTAGTTATCTCTTAGTCCCAAAACTATATTTCACCATGAAATTTTCTCTCTGATAGATAGTAGCTTAGTGGATCCACATTAGCTCAGTTTCAAGTCCCTTCCGATTGCAACTATTTGGACACTCTCTTTTTAGCGTGGGCTAGTAAATTAAATTACATGTAGTAGCTCACATGATTTATATAAATTTTAGTATCTCCAACCATCAGCCTTTTAGTTATTGAAGGAGCTTGTACTTATGTATTTCAGATCAGTATACTTCAACTTCATGTTATTTTACTTGGTCATTTGTTAACCTAACTAATTCAGTATGTTCCAGATATCATGTTTCCTATTCATATTTCTCATACACAATACATTCAAAGTAATAACCACGTACTTTCTGCCTATATTATTTGATAATATAGGTTTTGACATTTAGTATTCAACATGCGGTTAGTACTATCTCATATAAGCTAGCAATAGAGTTTGGTAAGTCTTCATCTCACCGAAGACAACCTCATATCTTCTTTTCAGTTATTTACTTTTAGTTTCAGAAAATTGGAGTTAGTTATGGAGGAATTTATCTTAGCAAATCATATTAGTAGAGGCTTTAAGACAGTCGGGTGTAGATTCAACTTAAGTTATTTCTTTCGAATATTAGTAATCTCAGTCTTATGGGCTTTATTAAGATATTTTAGATTTATCTTCCACGTTTACATTTCAGTTTCTATTGATTTATGTTAATCTTAGAATCATGACATACCATAAGCTCATCTTGGGGTCATTTGTGGCTCTAAGCACAAAATGTCACGTCTAGGGAATAGTCTCTGAGCATGAGACTTCCTCTTCTCTAAAAACTCTTCTTTTTCACCACCTTGGTTGCGTCTTTCCAAAATAATCATTTTAAGTCTTTTTTTTTCTGAATTATATTTTTCACATCAATCACTTTTGTCTCTTCTATATATTCCTTGCACTTTTTTTTTTATCTTCATCCATTTTTTTACTATACATCAGTTCATTTGACAATACAAGAGACTCGATGAAAAAGTTTAAAAAGGATCCATTCCTTCCACCCCCTCTTGCACTTTCAACTTCTACCCTTGCTTGCGTTGATTATAAAAAAATATTTTTGAAAAAATATTCTCTATTTACTTACGAAATATAAAAAAAATAATTAAAAATCACATTTTTTTGAAAAAAAAAAATTTTCGTTCATATCAAAAGCCTTGAAACAAATTCTTATTTCGTTCCATATTAGTTGTCATAAATAAAAAGGATAGTTTTACTGATTTAATTATTATTTTTAATAACTTTACAACTTTATAGACACTTTCAAAATGAACTATATGTAAAGTTAAAATGATACAAGTTTAGTTAATCCTATCTTTAATTTTATAAATTAACAAATATTTTATGACAATGTAAACAATTTATATGGGACAATCAAGTGGGGGGCTTTGAAATGTTGACTTTCAAACTTGGCTCTTTTGACTCTTTCCCAAACATGCCTTTTCATTGGTATTATACCTAAATGTGACATAACAAACGGCATCGTTTAATGATATAAGTGACACATTTCTTATTCTTTCCGTCTATTTTTATTTGTTATGTTGTATTTTCGAAAGTTAATTTGACTAATTTCAAAGTCAAATTATATTATATTACTTTTAATATTTTATTTAAAAAATAATAATTATATATTCAAAAATTACATGAAAAGTACTAAAAGATATATTTTTTTGCATATCAATATAATAAAAGATGTATCTTTAAATATTAATTAAAATTCTTAAAATTTAATCCTAAAAATAGAAACTATAACAAATAATGGTTTAAGGAGGGAGTAGTAAAAAACAGAGATATTTCCTCTCTTAGCCAACTTTTGGTGCCCATTTGGAGATTTAAACAAACAATATACATTCATATATTTAAGAGCTCTTCTCTTTTGCAAATAAAGAAATACATATTGTAAAAATTATTATTTTAAATCATATGTGTTTTTGTTCCATTTTCATACAAATTGAGGAGTTGACAAACCTTTGTTTGGATGAATCCAAGGTAACTGAGTGACTCTTCTGTCTTTGTGTCTTCAGATATATCATGTATGTGTATAATTTCATAATGGGTCAATTTTATTTTTCTTTTTTTCCCTTAAAGATTCTTACTTTCTTGACTTTTTCTTGGTTCTTGATTGATAAATTAGAAGACCCTTGTTCTTGTTCTTTCTATCATATTGTTGTGACAAACTATGCAAGAAAGATTGTATCTTTTTTACCCATTAATGATTCAATTTTACCCTTTTGATTCTTTCTTGGTCTGGCTGTATATTTGGGATGATTGATGCATAATATCAGTTGCAAGAAAAAAAAAGAACAAATTTTGAGAAGGAAAATTAATTGCCATTGTGTGATTTTCTGTCTGTTATATCACTGTTTGTGTTGCATCATATTCAGCTGAGGGGAAAAAAGGGTTGTACCATTTTGCTTGTTTGAATGTCAAAGAAATTCTTTAGTAAGTTTTTAGTTTGAGTCTAATTTGTGAAGCAGGAAATAAGGCAACAGAAATCTTTTGGCTTCATTTTCCTTTAACTTGGTTGAGTAAGTTGGTTGTTAGAGTTTGAGCATATGTTTGCTGCATCGCTTTCGTGCTAATAAATGGTAGATAGTGTTAAAATTTATGTGGTTAATTAGTCGACTGAAATTGTACATATATTGGGGCTAAGCAACCATTTCCTGATTCGAAGTTTAGCATGGACCTTTCATTGTTTTGGCTGATGTTTAGGAACGTTATTGGCTGGAATAGTGCACTCTGGGTTCTGTTTCAATAAATCTCAGTAACAAAGGAAGTTAATCTTAGTTCCCTTCATTTTAAATCTCACTGAATTTAATTTTAAGGTCGCATTATGATATTTATGGTCTAGATCTGCGTATCCAATATTTTATGCTTCGTGTATGATGAATTCTTATGGTTGATGTCTAAGTTGCAGCTCTCTCTGCCACTTTATTGAAGCTCATAGATTTGATCATTTTCTTTTTAATTGAAGAAGCTTACCCGTGGCTGCCTCTCTGGATGCTCCTGATCCAGTTTTGGAAAGGGTTCTTATAGAGGACACTAAAAATAGTAGCCAAGGCGGGGATAGGAACTTAGCTCATCAACCAATTTTGCTGGATCAGGTCTCCAAATCTTTCAGAGGAGAAGTAGTGAACAGGTACACTCAACTGATGCCATTGTTATCTTCCTTTGTCTACATTTCGACTGTCTTTCATCCTCATCCTTAAAACTTAAAGGGGTTTATTTCTTGTTGAGGGAGCTTGTTAATATCCTTCGTGATAAGTTAATTTCTTGTTGGTGGAGCTGTTAATACTGTTTAGTGCTAATACATTTCATATCAACTTGGTAGTAATTTAACAGATAAGATAGCTGCTACTTTCTCTAGGTCTCTTGGAGTTTCAACTGATTTTACAACATACCTACTACATGAAGATTTATATTTTTTATATGTCGATATACATAGGCTTCAAATTATTGGAACTATAGTCCTTCTACCTCGTGCATCACCTTGCAAAGATCGTGTATCTTTTCCTTCTTCCTTGCAGTGGTGGCTGCAAACATTGTTTTCTACTTTGTATACAAGTGAATTGCTGGATGTTGAATTGGAGCTTTTACTAATATGTTTCCTAGTAACTTCATGTGTATAAATTGCCTAAGGAACTGCATGTCTTAATGTTTGCATTCGGTTCTCTTAGCCTGTTTTTCTTCAATCAATGTTTGCAATTATAAATGTGTGGAAGCATAATTAAGTAATCAAATGTGTGTTCTCTCTAACAACTTATGCTTTAAGATGAGATGGGCACACACTACAATATGGTATCAAAGTAGACAAGACAAGAGATTCTGGATTCGAGTATCCCCATCACCCATTATTATCAAAAACAATTTCCACGAACTGGGACCATGAAAAGGGTCTGCAGATGAGAGGCGTTTTGAGTCATAATTAAGTAATTAAATGTGTGTTCGGTCTAACACTTAGGCTCTTAGATGAGATGGTCACACATTAAAAAAAAATGTAATGGTTTATTCTGTGTTTCTACAGAATGTACATTGCAGTATGTTCTTTTGTGGTTCTAACTTAACTTTTGAATACTCTCACTGTCCCAATTTATATGACACCTTTTATGTTGTGAGAGTCAAACAATTTAAGTTTGACCGAAAATTTACGTATAGAATCTTCAAATTGTTTTAAATGAAATTTATATATTTGTAAACTACGTAAAAAGTACTATGAGTCACAATAATTGATAAATCAAAATGTTTAAAAGATCTATGAAAAATTTACGGTCAAAGATAGACTTATTTGACTCCTGAAATCCGAAAGGTGACACATATGATGGAACGGAAGGAGTATATGTTTACCAGCATTGTTGCTTTATTAAAGCATTTTTGGTCAGTAACAGATTGCCGAGAGAAATAGAATAATATTTTGCAGGACTTGAAGTGGAAATAAGAGTTCAAGTATCTTTCTATTCTCTCTTTTTTCTTTTGGTGGAAAGAGGATAGTGGGGAAAACATTTTCATGTTGTTTTTAGCTCTCATCCAATCTGCAGATTCTAAATGGTCCATTCTATATGCTTAAGTATATGTTGTGTCTCTGAATTACAGCTTAATGATGACTAGGTTTTCTCCTTAATGTGAGTTTCTTTTTTGCAGTACTAGGGACTCTATTAGGTAGTTGCCGTTGGTTTTATCCGTATGTTGTTTGTTTTTCATGATCATGTCACTAGTTTTTGACTCAGCATGTCTCTAGCAGATCATCTAAAAATAATGGGCACGCCAATGAGAAGGAATTTTAAAAGTTACTGTGTGATGTTATTTGTTTGTGATTGCCTTCAGATCTTTATCCATGAAAGCTGCAAATAGAAACGACGAAGATTTGGAAAATGGGATGTTGGAGAAAGACATAGAGAAGTCAGTACGCAGCAATAAAGGTTTCACAGTACACAACAAGGCCTTGCTATCTGGAATCGCTTATTGTATTTCTTCCTGTAGCATGATATTAGTGAATAAGTATGTACTTTCCAGCTATGACTTTAATGCGGGGATATCATTGATGGTCTATCAGGTACTTCCCAGTCTTTGTTATATTTTTGAGCTTATCAAGGTATAGAGGTAGAGTAATGACAAATAATTGTTGAACCTTTATTCAGAATTTTGTCTCAGTGGTGGTGGTTTCTTCGTTGAGAGTTTTTGGGATAATTTCTACTGAACCACTCACTTGGAGGCTAGTCAGAGTCTGGTTGCCTGTTAATGTTATATTTGTTGGGATGCTTATAACAAGTATGTTCAGGTAAAAGATACCCCCTCTTCATGTTTGTCGTGCCATGAATTTAATTATTTGAATGTGCCTATTGTTTTATTTACTGCTGGTTGCAGAAGTCATGCATTGCACCTATTATTGTTGGATGCACAGTTCTCTGAGATCAGTTTTTCGGTGTGATCGAGTTCAGCTGGGCCTTTATGCAAGACTATATTTATTGGGAGTAACAGATATCTGGTTCAAACCTTCATGCAAGTGTTAGTTTTACTACTTCAAATTTTAAGGCCACGCTAGGTGTTCAAATGGTTGCTTTATTTGTGGGACGGTTCTTGATCCAAAATAGAAGGAAATTTTTGTCTAATTTGATGAAATAGAAACAAAATGGAAATGTGAATTCTCTGGAATAAGCTTTAGAACTAGAGGCATATATCTTAATGGTTAATCTTTGTCTCATAATTACTTGTTGACCTTGTCTTTTGCTGAGTAAGAAATTCTGAATATAGATTTCATTCAGTAAATGCTGTTAAGTTCACCTTTTTGGAATATTTTTTAAAAAAATTCTCAGTAAAAGAGTCATCCTTATCAAACTTGTGAACTTGATTCGTGTAGAAGATTTTTTAACTCAGTCTGGTGTTCCCTTTTTTCCAAAGATATCAAACAATAGAAGAGACTATTTTTGGAGCCACTTAGAGGAGTACGCCTGGACTGATGAAATTAAAGGTGGACATGCTCATCATCATTACATGCCTCTTGGAACTTGACTTGTAGGCAATAACATTTACAATAAAATGTCTCCTTTTTCTTTGGCCTTGGCCTTCCACACATCAATACGGAGCAACTCTTTGGCTCTACCCTGCTGAGTTTACTTAAGATGAAACCAAAGATGCTTATGATGTAGGTCATGATTCATGAACACTTAGAATTTGATTACACTACATGTCAAAAGTAGAAAAGGGTACAAAATCATTAAAATTATATATTAAACAAATGTATTTTAGTTTTAAGTACAGCTATTTGTGTTCTTTCTGCTTTACCATTTTCATTACCAATTTCAGTACTCTGGCATTTTATATCCATACGATACTGCAGATTAAAGATTTTTTTAGCATAGAATCTACTTTAATGTTTAATATTTAAAGCTGTGATTCTATGACTTGGCTGAATTACTTATAATTGTGTTATTTCCTGCAGTCTAAAGTACATCAACGTTGCTATGGTCACTGTCCTAAAGAATGTCACTAATGTGATAACTGCTGTTGGTGAGATGTATTTATTCAACAAAACGCACGATAACAAAGTTTGGACTGCACTTTTTCTGATGGTATGCTAGTAGCTTAAAAGTATGTAAATACGAAGTGTTACAGGTCAAGCAAATGCTACGCTATATTGCTTTTGATATTATTGCAGTGATTCTAGCCTCTTTCATCCCCGTGCTCAGATAAAGTAATTTGTTAAAGATATGTTTCGTTGCTTTGTATTCCAGAACTTACATTAGCATTCTTTTTTACGTTTCCTGTCACAATAAGAGTTTATAGCACGTAATGATTTTTCAGTAGACACTACTCAGGGTATTCGCTAGTAACCCAGTCCTCAGTCAAAGACATAATGAATTCCATGCGGTGACCAAGTGGTATAAGATGTAATTGAGAGAAAATGCAACTTATGGTAAGGAATAGTATCATCTTTGTTTTAGTGCATTACTTCTTATAACAGTGGTACTTTCTATTAACTAGTGATATGAGTAGTTTTGTGATATAATACAAAAGTATTTGGAAGTTGGTCATGAACCCTAAATTTATCAAGACTTACGTCATTTGACTAGAGTTGCATATATAGAACTAAATTTGAAATATTATTCATTTATGAGATGACAGTTGTAGAGATGTCACACTTAAGTTGTGTTTGCGGATTATTTCAGCAGTTACTTACACTTAAGTTGTGTTCTGCAGATTATTTCAGCAGTTACTGGAGGAATTACAGATCTTTCTTTTCATGCCATTGGTTATACATGGCAGATTATTAATTGTTTCTTGACAGCATCATATTCTGTAAGTACGTCTTTTTCTCATTGTGTTTCTTTTTCTGGGTGCTATTTTATCTGGCATTTGTTTCTTCTGGGAATATTATCTTTGTAAAATTCATGATTTTCGTTATAGTTGTCAGACATATGAACTTAGGATAGAAGATATAGCTTAATCATACAACAACATATCCAGTGTAGTCCCACAAGTGGGGTTTGGGAAGGATAATGTGTGTGCAGACCTTACCCTTATGTTGGAAGGCATTAAGGCTGTTTCCAGTAGACCTGTGGCTTGGATACTACTCAAAACAAAGGACAAAAGTGAATAAACTGCCTAAACATCTGTCAAAGATGATGACCTTTGCCGGCAGCAGTAAAGGCGCCAAGATATTATAATAGAATTGGACATATCCATTGCAGAGTACATATAATACTGTTTTTCTGTGTCCACCATAACATTGACCTAGATCATCAAGAATTAGATCTTGTTTTCCAACTATTTCATGCTTGAGTCAAAAAGTTCTTGCCTAATTCCAGTATTATCAAAAGCAAAAAGCTCACCAACATGGGTTGTGGTGCAGTGGTGTGAGTGTTCCATCCTTAATCAGAGGTTCCGGGTTAGAGCCCTGGGTATGAAGGAAATCCTGTTGGGAGCGTCACCCCTAATGGATCCTGCAGTGCGCGATTCCGATTTAGTCGCAGCTCCAATACAGGCACTGGAGACCGGATAGCAAACAAAAAAATGAAGCAAATAATGCAAAAGAACTCTAGCGTCTATTGGGGTTTTAAGCGCAAATAAAGCATGGTTTTTAATTAGAAAAGGCGCAAAGGAAAAAATAAATACATATGTTATGAAACATAGACTGTATACTAAAATTAAATAGCACGAAGAAAGAGAGAGAGTAGTAGTAACTTTCTTCCAATATTCTTGTGTATATTTCCATATACAATGTAAGTTATTTATAAGTATCAAGTAACTTGGATCCAAGTGAGCTAGTGCAAATGGACATGGACATCCACCATATACTAGTGCATGTGGACACGTACTTCCCCTTGGATGTCCATTAATAGATAACGTGTCTCGTTGAATTCTTACTAGAAAAAGTCTTTCGGCTTGTAAACTTTAAATGCTGAAAATGTTGTACAGTTAACCAAATTACCATAATACTTCATTGTTACCATATCAAAACAAAAAATATTACAAACCTTTTTATGTATTTTCAATATGAAACTAAATTGATGATAGTTGATACAGTCTTGATCTTGTAATGTCAAAATTTACACGTAACCTACTGGTGAAAACAGCTAATCTTTGCTAACTGGGATGAGCAGGTCCCTCCTTATAAGAAGAAAAAAGAAATACTTATTGACAAAAAAAAGAGTAAGGATCCGAGTCTGATCTTAGAGACTGGTGCTTTTACAGTTAACATGATACAAGCTAGCGTTTATTTCATATGGTCTGAATGATTAATTCATAATCTTGTACTGGAAGATCTAATGTTGACAGTTTGCAACAAACTGCTCAAGTTGCAAACCTAAGTTCCTATTTGGACATTTCTGAAGTCTTAAGACATATGCTGACAGATTTTAGTAAGAATAGTTTAGTATAGTTCTGTTCCCGTCTCTGAGAATCAACTTCAAAGCTCCTTAATGGTTATCTTCTATAATATCAGAATTGAGAACTGATTATTATTCTATTCAAGGAAGGTGCGGATTGCGGAAGTTGTTCATGTGATACACCCATCGAGATGAAGGCCATTTGAACTTGTACACTCAAGAGCCAAAGCTTGAGCTCAGTTTCTTAATGGTCAAATGCATTATTAACTTGTCTTTTTTAAATATATGTAATTACATAAAATAGGTTTGTGGTAATATATTTTGACTATTCAAAATACAATTTTCTTGTTATTCAGGTATAAAGATTTAGTGTTACAATCTAGGTAAATTATATTTAATGTTCGCAGCTAAACTTTTAAAATGCATTTATTCGAAAATATAAATTTCTCTAATAAATATAAACTTGAGCTCGATTGTGACTCGAACTTGAGCTTTGCTGAATTCAAGCCTAGTTTGATTGTGTACTTGTCCCTTATTCCAGTGAGATAGGACTCGGTTATTCAATGTTCCAGTCGAGCTCAAAATGTCGAGAACTTGACTTTGGCTTGATTGCTTTATAACACCTTCAATTCCTTTTGGCATTAATCGTGGGAATAAGCAGCAGTTGTTCTGTATTGAGCTTCATATCCTGTTTTTTTTAGGTTACATTTAATTTGATGTTCTAATTAGTCACTTGAAAATTTCTTCTTTATGGGTACATCTTCTTCAATATGATGACCTGATTCCCATGCTAATGCTTAATTTTTATCTTTTATTTATTTATCTTCTGGTGCAGTTGACTCTTCGCAGGGTCATGGACACGGCCAAGCAAGTGACTAAATCGGGGAACCTTGATGAATTCTCCATGGTCCTGTTAAATAACACCCTTTCACTGCCTTTGGGCATTTTGCTTATATTATTATTCAACGAGATGGACTATCTTTCTAGAACGTGAGTTTTGGTTTCTTAAAGTAGCAATTGTTTTCCTCAATTTTTTATTTATCTCGTCCATAAGTGGTTGCCTTTTTCTGAGCATACACATTGCATGCCTCATGCCTATTGTTAAAACCAGTAATAGGTAAATGTTGGTGGATTGATGTCTAGTTGAAAGCCAATGTTGGCCTGAATGTTCTTAATCCAACTTTATAAATGTAATCCTATAATGATTGTTGTAAAAGTTTAAAAAGCATAAATATACCAGTACATATATAATTGATAACAATTGCTAACTATGTCAAATTTGAAGGGGATTAAGAAAGAGGAGGGAGATTTTCGTATTTTATCAAGTCTCTAGGAGTCATTTTTAATCTTCAGTTCTATTTATTGACAACAATAGCCTCACAGACTCAAAATGTAATAAAATATAACTAACCTAATAGTAGATTTTTGAAGGGAAGCCTTGGAGCAACAGTAAAGTTGTTTCCGTATGACCTATAGGTCATGGGTTTGAGTTGTAGAACCTGTCACTAAGGATTACATTAGGGTAGATTGTCTACACCACACCCCCTTAGGGTTCCCGGACCCTGTGTAAATGTGGGGTGCTTCACCGTGATGCCCTTTTTGCCAACCTAATAGCAGATTTTTTATCTGCTTCTCCTTACCTGTTAAGTTGTTCCTTAAAATTTATCCAGCTGAGCATAAGCCATCTACCCACCCATATGTAAGCAGTTTTAGTTGTGCAATTACTAATTCCCTTGTGCTTCTCTTTTTGAAGATTGTACTTTTCAAAAAGAATTGCTCCCTTAATTTGCCTCATAAGTTTTGTTCTTTGCGCTCTGCTTAACGATTTTCTGGAGACAGCTAAAATGCATATTCTTAGAGTAAGCATCTCACCTTAACCCCTATGCCCTATTCCTGGTTACTGTTCGGTCAATTTAGTTTATAAGACTTGAGATAGAAAGGCATCCTGATTACTTTAGTTGGCTTTAGAAGATCCTTCAAACTTGTTCGATTTAGTTGATAGATACTTCTCAAGTTCTGAAGCTTTCTAGTACTATCGTCGTGCCCTCATTCAGTTGCAATTGGTTACTGTTTAATCATAAGTGAGTACTGTTTCATTGCACATTGAAGATTTTGCTACATGTATCATTATCTGCAGACCACTGTTACAATTACCAGCTTTCTGGTTGGTGACAACCTTTAGTGGATTGTTGGGCTTAGCAATTAGCTTCACATCCATGTGGTTTCTTCATCAAACAAGTGCAACTACTTATAGGTATGGTTCTTTTCATGTGAGTTCATTATTTCATGTTTCTTTGAGTACTCTGATGTAAACATTTCCCTCTTCGATCTTTCTTTAATTTTTGGATTCTGCAGTCTTGTCGGATCACTAAATAAGATACCTCTCTCTGTTGCTGGTATTTTCCTTTTCCATGTTTCAACAAGTCTGGAGAACTCTGCCAGTATATTATTTGGTGAGGGCTTACTCTTTTCTGTTTACCCTGGTGTACCTTTTTTAGTAAAGATTACGCCTCAATCCTAAGTAAGTTGGAGTTGGCTATACGAATACTTACTGTCCATAGCACTTCATTTAAGCTGCAATCCCCCCGCCCCTCGTTTATCCAGACTTGGGAATTGAGAAAAAAACTATGTTGCATTTTGCAGGGCTCTTGGCTGGAGTATTTTTCGCCCGAGCAAAGATGCAGGATAAATCTCAAACTAGATCATGAATGTCAAAACTAACACCCTTTCCTTTGTAAATTATGTCTTGTCTTGAATTGTAGAGCTTGTTGTATACTAAAAACTATGACATGATCAATCAATTAAGAGATAGATCAAGATTTTTATTCATCTGGAACCTGTCTATTTTGATTTTTAACCTCTTTACTGTGCATTTTTTGTATTTTACTTATTCCAATTGTTCATATGATAAGAATGTGCAACCTCTGAACCAGAAGGTTACTCAATCACTCAAGTCTTCAAGGAGTTTCAAATAGATAAATTACTGTGTTTAGATAATTAGGGAGAATAATTTGTTACTGTTAATCATGAAAATGGAAATATGAGAGAACTGTCTAAAATAACTTATTATTTCAACCAAGTTATTCATCAACTACTGAAAAAGTAAAGGGTTGAAGCTGCAGATATAAGAATGTAACATACATAACTCAGTGAATGATAGAAGCTACCATCCAAACAAAAGGCTTAAATTACCAAAAGTGACTTACTCCAAAACAGAGTTTGAAAACAAATCAAAAGAAGAGCTATAATCACAACAACATCATACTCAATTTAATCCAACAAGTAGGAAGTGGGGTTTGAAGAGAGTAACATACGCAAACGTAACCCTTACCTTTGTGGAGTTGGGAAGTTGTTTCCGAAAGACAAAAGAAGAGCTATAAAGAGAAAAATGATAACATTACAAGATTCTTGAGGACTTGATGCATATTTTTTGTTTGCCTAGAATGTCAAAAGTATACAGAAAACCAAGTTTTGATGGCAATTAGAGCTTTTTGCGTTGCTAACAGAGTAATATTTTCTCTGTGCTCCTTAAACTGTATAGTTTTCCAATCAAATGGAGCTGAAGAAACTCCATTCTCAATTGCCAACTCTAGTGATTAGTCGTAATCTCAAATATAACTCCTTCAAGATTCTTGATAATACGCCGAGTCCCAGAAACTTCATTTATCTGCAGACCATGCCGAATTGCTTCATTGATGACCATAGCATCCATGCTGCATTAAGGCACGCAGAACAAAAATGCATCAAGAATGAAATGAAAATGACTACAGTTGCAAGAAACATGTCAACATTTCTCAAGATTAACACTTCTGCAGTCAAGTATGGACACCTAGACGATACACGTCCACCATTGTATAGAACTAGTTGAAATAGCAGGAAACATATCTAAATGACCCTCCCAACCTTAAGAGTAGTTCAGGATTTGCTCTAGAAACTCATGCGAGATAGGTAGCTAAGAAAAATTATGCAGCAAAGTTATTGATTACAGAATCCTACGAATCAAGCACAACAAATTCTGTTTCTCCTGTTCAAGCACAACAAATTTCAGTATCTCCTCCATCTACAATTCTTTTAATTACAATTATATGTTTCAATATCAATGGGACAGAAGATTGTTTGCTGGCTACTTAATATGCATTTTTATTGAGAATGAGAATCTATCTAATTAAACGGGGATGATTTGCTTCATAGTACTAGTTCCCCTTCCAACACATTGGTTAACAACCTGTACAAGACTAGCGATCAAAACTTCCTAACGAAGATATACCATTTCACATGAATTATACTCTGATACCTGATCATCAAAAGCTAAGAGTGGATTATTACTAATAAAAGGAAGATACTCATTACTTTTTTTCAGATGCTATTTGAAATTTTGTTGAATAAGATAGGACACATACTAGTATGCATTTTCTAGACAATGAGAAGTCTACATTGAAACTTGCAGCAATAATTTCTTGAATATCATTTCACATTTGGGAGTTATCTACAAATTCAACAAAGTCCTTCAAAATCATGCAACCAACACATAATCATGATCAAAATAACCAAGTCAGTGAAGGCCACTTACACTTTTGCTCGTGAAACATAGGCCAAAATAAATTTGCATTTCTTCTGGTCACGATCTCTAAGTAGCCGCTCAACAGTATCAAAAAGCAAAGGAACATTTGCCTGCTGAAAACTTAAAGCTTGTCAAGGGATACACTATTCTTTCTAGACTATGATATCATCCAAACAAGGATAAAGTAACAAAAACTAAGTCTGTAATTCAATCATTTGTCAGTTAAGACAATCTAGTTGCTACTAGGCTTCAAATGTAGATCAGTTGATTTGACAACAAGTTTCTTCAGGTGCCAAGACAAGGAAAGAGAACCAGAATACCTATCTGACTTTAAAAGACATCCAAGGAGAGAATGATATTCATATCTTATAGGCCTGATGAATTAGAATTTTTTAATATTACTGAATGAAAGGAGCTAGTTCATTACTGAAAAACATTTGCAGATACATGGCACCGAATCTGAAAGACAATTTCCAACCTCAAAGACTCAAAGAGGAATGGGTTATTTCATCATAGGTTGGCAATTGGCAAATGGCAATTTGGCATGATGTTGTTAGCTTCGAATTAAGTCAACAAATAACAAAAAGAGAACCAATTAATGCAGTAGGAGAAAAATCAACTAGGATATAAATGTCAGCTCCAAGGACTAAATCAAATCCTTCTGGGTGCTCCTGTAATATACAATTCAGCTGATCAAAGCTTCCCCATTCCAGCTTCTCAGCTTTTAATTCTGCATCAAAGATAAGTTAATGAGACATGACCTTATCGAAAATGGCATCTGATTCCTCAATTGTTCACACACCTGTACAACACATAGAACCATCTGAAGATTCCTGCAGCTTTATGTTTTTCTTCAGAATCTGGAATGACATAAATATATTAGAAGGTGAACTTGCAACACAGTCCTCCAGCAAACTTCAATTGCTCAACCTTGCCTTGAGAACTTCATCATTATGATCTGTCATCACTACTCCACGACAAAATCTACTGCAGAGTACTCCAGTTATACCTGTAAATAGGATGCAATCAACTAATTAGTAATTTCATCTTAAATAAAATAGAGACAGAGAAATGATATGGAACGTAAAATAAAAAGTACACACATTGTTGCCTTTGGAGAGGAACTAAACGGTGTTATTAGAAGTTACTATTGTGATAGTTTAGGAACTTAATTCATGTTTCCGTCAAAAGAGGCCTTTAAGTTACATAGTCTCTCTTACTTTGCTCATTTTCACACTTCAATCTTGTCCTTGGTTTATTAAAGAAGTTCTTCCTCCCAATAGTCTAATCCACATATAAAGGTTTATTCGGAATCAACTTATACAGTAATACCGACTGAAAATATCAAAACATTTGCAAAAGTTTGTGGTAATGTTGAACTCAATGAACACCTTAACACAATTAGGCCCCAGACAGTCTTTAAAGTAGAAGCCAGTTCAAGTAAAGATTCAGGCTTTGAGTAAAGAAGAGAATGAGGTCCATCACATATTTCACATCAGAATAAAGGGACAAAAGCTATAATGGAGCCAGATCAGTTACCCACTTTATAACTTCAAAAATGTGGCTGAATTTTCTTATATGTGAACATTTCGTCTTCCGTGTATGTTCCTTATCTCTCTCATCAGAATGGAATGATCCTTTTGAGGTTGCATATTGTCATCGACCAAGTACGTTAATCAAGATCTTAAGCAAGCACCCAATATGATCTAATATGTGAACAATTCCCTTTCTTATATCATTTTGCTATCTTAACTTCAAAGGAAATAATAGGTGGACATGTTATGCTTCTAGTACTATCTAAGACTCTAAACCATGTCTTTCTTCTACTCGTATCTCATTAATTTGGACATGACTTTCATGTGATTTCCTCGAGTTTCCATCTCAGCCAAATAAGATCACAACAGTTAAGAAAAGAACCATCACTCAAGGTGAAATGTTTCTCTTGGTTGGTGTATAAAGGGGCGTGTCTTACGCAAAGTAACCTTCAAAGAAGAAGTATACAACTTTGCAACAGACGTGTTTTGTGTGAATGAATGCTTGAGGACAACAACCATCTCTTTCTTCATTGCGAATTGAACTCTCAGATTTGGGACTATTATAATAATGATGACCAAACAGAAGACGACACATTAATATATAAAAACTGATTGTGGTTTCGGGAATGATACTAACCGACACCAGAGCCTAGTTCAATGACAGAACATCCTTGGAGCATGTTAGCATTCTGTGTAAGATAATCATTCATCAGCACTGCCCCAGGCCACACCAACTGTCCTGTCAAATCAAAATCAGCTGTTCCACAGATAGTCAGCCTACAGTTATTACATTAGGTAATATTAATGCAAGCATGGGGACATCAAAAGTTATTTGAGGAATTAAAAGTAACAAATCAAACTAAGAAAAGCTTTTGGTAAAATTTGGTTTTGCAGTGCTAGGTAAAATTCTGCAAATGGAATGGGAGAGATCTAAACTATTAGCACGCATTCATCAACTACGTATCATCATTGGTATATTCAGACTGGATTATATTATATCTGTGACTCTCAATCTTTTGAGAATATCCCCCCACCCTCACCTCATTAAGAGAAGTGTTTCCTTTTGAGAAAGTTATACTCAGGATTAAGTATTGGGTGAAATATAGATTTGGCTTAGCACGTTCACTTTTTAGCAGACTTTTAGTGCATTTTGAGATATCCACATGAAATACCAGTACACATGTCTTATCTGTTTCACATGGATACACTGAGGCAACCAATCCTTGAACCAAACTAAGTTAGCTTCTCAATGTAGTCTTCATTTTCTAAAAAAGGCTTAGGTTTTTCTCTTAGTTAAGGTAAGATAGCCCATCCATCCTTGACTTTTCAATGCTCAATTACTTATCAATCCAAAATCTATCAAGTTGAAGCCAAGAGATCCGGAAAGCTACCTAAATGAAGAGTGACAGCTGAGAAACACATTATTTGGAGGGCCAGCAGCAGTGCAGCCCATTCTCAGAATGATATATTGCCTAGACACGTCCACATATCAGCTATGCTCAAGGTGAGATTTCCAATAGGTCAGGTCAGGTATTTAAAGAAATTTTCGACAGCAAAAGGAATATTGAGTTTTTAGATAAACAAGCATAGCAGAAACAGAGCTATCCATGAAGCTACTACTTCCTTGACTGATTAAAGTACAAAAAATCCAACTAACTTTGCTTGCAAAGAAAGAAAAGGATATGGCAACAAATACACAGCTGTTTCTCATAGTGTCATTATAGTTCCAAAGA